GCTCATTGGAATCGGTAGTAATAAATATGCACACTCAACAACAAAAAAAAAACGTTGTGAATATGGCCAGAGGAAGAGTGATCAGCACCAAAACAACAACAAAGAGTTATGTAACATTTTGAAATCTTTATTAAAATTTAGTAATTGTAAACCACAATCCATAACAATCCATGACATAGTTAGAACAGTCTGAGCAAGCAATTGCATATAAATTTATTGATTATTTTGTCAACAATGTTTCATTGATTAATCAATCCATTGAATTGGTCGATGAACCTGACGAAATAAAGCAGCCAGTTAATAGTAAGTTGTAGGGAGGGGAGGGAAGAAATTTCCGGTGAAAGTTTGAAGAGACCGGGATTTCGGCAGGAATTTCCAATGGCGCTCTGAAAAAATATCCTTAGAAGACAGCCGTCACTACTAAATGATTTCAGGAAGACTACTGGGGAAGTAAGAAGAAACTTCTAGAAGAAGTCAGAATAGTCTTCTGGGTAAAGTCTTAAGGAACTTCTGAGTGAAACATAATACAGTTTCCTTTTCCAGTGGTAGCATCATGGTTTGGGGCTGTTTTTCTTGGTATGGAGTAGGTCCCATTTTCAGTATTAATTCCATCATGACCAGATTTGAATACAAAGAAATCATGGAGGAGGTTATGCTCCCTTATGCAGAAGAGAACATGCCTCTTCTAAGTATGTAAAGAAATGGTTTTGTGCAAACAAAGTGTCGGTTATTTCATGGCCTAGCCAATCTCCTGACATAAACCCCATCGAAAATTTATGGAACGAGCTTAAAAGAAAGTTATCTGGTCAAGCATTTTCAAATAAGGATCAACTATGGACCACAGTTCAAAAAGAATGGTATGCTATACCAAAAGAAACTTGTCAGTGCTTGGTTGAGTAAATGTCAAGAAGATTGAACAAGATTTTACTTAACAATTAAGGGCACAGCGGTTACTAAACGTCATTAGTCTAATAAAATTTATACGATTATTTTCAAGCTTTCTATACTATAGTTGTATCACATAACATATGTGGAACTTCATTCAAAATAGCTGACTAAAAGTTGACCCCTTTTTTGTGTTGCCTCAGTGGTATAACTGGCATGGTTAACTGGCATCGATCTGTCAAAATAAAATTTTCGTGATATCTACACTGAGCGTTCAATGTCAAAAACATAAATAATGGCGTCTTTCGTAAATTTCTCGTATGTCAAAATCAATCCATGTAAGTCACCAATTTTATCGGATAGAAGGACTCTTTCTCTACACAATCATCATGGTGGTTTACTGGAGTGAGTTTTCATTTTCGATAAATTCACGCAAAAAGTAATTGTTTAAGTTTGCGGCATTGGCCATTACGAAAGAGCAGATAGGGGAAATTGATGTAATGTTGGCCTAAATGTCCCTAATTTGGGCAATCGACTAAATTTTCAATAGCGACCAAAATAACCATAGTACCGTCCCAATGTCACGTTCATCTAGATACAATTGATAAATAGCAGATTTTTAGCGATGGGCCCAAGCTTAGACCAATAGGCCAACATTAGAGCCATTTCCCCTATATGGTAGTATGCTCAGTAAGCAATGACGTTGACGGCGACTCTGCAGCTCTTTATTCCCGGTAAAGAGCATCCTTCCATAAGCATCTGACAATCTGTGCATGGAATCTAGCGAACTTTGTCACCATGGTACCAGCCAGCCGACGTCTTTTCACACACAGACTGATGTTTGTTTATGGGATTTTAATCATTGAAGCAAGGATTTACAGAGTGACCGAAAAGGCGACTTGTCAAAAGTCAAGATAATGTACAATGAGATGTAAACAATTGAGGCCCAGATAATTTGACGTCTATTTTGTTTGTCTGCTGTTTGAATGCTTGACGGAGTTTGACGTGTGGGTATTCTTTTTTCGACTAGCTCGACAGGGGGCTTTTCGGAGGTTTTTTTTAACTAGTAATTTCAGTCAGTCAGAAGCCAATAAAGAGCGTTGTTAATCAGTATTGCCTATTTACAGATGTAATATTTCTTCGGCTATTTGATCTAATTACATTGGATTGATTACGGAAATTATGTTAATTGAATGAAATTTAATGCAAATAACTCGAAGATTTGATGTTTACGTTGAATAGATGTAAAGCTACTATTTTGTCTGTGGTATGTTGAAATATTGTTAATTGTGCTTTTAGTGAGTCAACTTATGATTACATCACGAAACACCTGTTGATGCATATTAACGTTTACATTAAAAAAGGCATTTTTTTTTCTAAAAAAAAAACACAAACGAAACAACTTCCAATAGAACCAAACGATTGTTCCGTTTGTAAATAGTGCTTAGCTTTCATACACCTTGCTGTGAGTCCCACCCTAGGACCTTAGCCATATTGGTCGAAAAAAGTGTCTTGCCCTTTGCCGTTTCGATCAACCAGGGTCAACCTTACCACGGGTTTTGTTACAAAGTAATTGGAATAGTTCTTTGTGTTGGGATTTGAGAAGAAACCTTCAATTGACGGCAATTGAGAAACATAGGGAGTGTTGAAATCTGGGGTATTACAGGTATCGATAATCGCTCGATTTAGTTTATCACCCTGCTTGCAAAATTATTGCTAATGGAACGATGCAAGGTCAGCTCAAAACACACTATTACACTATCAAATGCTCTACTTTAAATTCGAATAAAATGAAGTTGAATGAACATAACCTAAAATTTAGTATTTATTTTGCCTACACATATTTTAATGACCAGCAATCACAACATTCTCTGCGTACGTACTACACAATTTATTTCTAAATGATATCAATCATCACACTAAATGACTATTGTAGGTGAAATGTCATAACAAGATAGCTTATGTAACGTAATATCAACTCTAGACTGAACTTGGCTTAATTTGCACCAACTTTCCTATGATCCGTTATATTTGAAACCATTTTTGTGCCATTTTGAAAAATGAATCGATTAAAAAGATCGATTCAAAATGATTGAAGATTTTCAAAAAAAAATGAATCGATTCACTAAGATTGATTCTTGCCTCAAGATCGCCCAATGCTCACATATCATATACATTTACATTATATATCATGTAAAGTTCTGACACATTTCATGCAATGTAGCAAATTTTGTATACAACAGTCCATCTTTGTAAACAACATTGTTTGCAAGTTGCTCGTTTGCGTAAAATGAACTACAAGTCTACGTGAATGAATGTTTACATCACAATTAAAATTCAGAATTTTTATCTGTGTAGTTCTAGAAAAGAACATTAGTACAAAGCAAGTGCACGTGATCGGGTGAATTGCATTCCAAAGTGTTTGCTTATCAGCATCCTTTTTCTCAGTTTTCATATAAGACAGATTAGAACTAGGGTTCCTTCCTCTTTTTCCCTTCCTTTTCAGAAAGTTAGTAATTTCACTATAACCACAGACAAACAGACGTAACATATTGAATATTTCTCACTGTAAAACATCGTCGCTAAAACATTACCGCCATCTGTTGAGTGCACTACCACAGAACGCTGAACAGATGGCGGTAGTGTGTAAACGTCAAACGCAAGGAAATCAACCATGCGTGCCAAAGGTGGCGGTACTACCAACTAAAATACTTTTTAATTGACCGTTAAATGCTTGTTCGATGCACAACTTGCGAGTGTTATGTCTGCTTGTCTGTGCTATAACCATAAGTCATATAGGACTAGGACAAGAGTTAGTGCTCATGTCCCGACCACTAGAGGAAAATGGTGCATCACTTAACCTTTTTAAACTAGATGCTCTCAACGACTGATCATTTGTAAATAACAATACAACGGAACGTACGGTACGAAATGTGCACGTGTCATCCATTTATTGGGTTCTGAAGCATTGTGTTCAAATCTTTGATTTAAACAGGCACGATGTTTTTGAATGATCTTGTCCTTTAAGGTTCAATTTACTTTGATGCATTTTTTAAAAATTCAAAAGCAGTTTTTCTCGACGCAGTATTTTAGATTGCAAAAAGCTTGCGTCATTTTGTGTAAAATATCAAAAGGAATCGAATAGTGTGAGCTTTTTGCAATCTGAAATAATGCATCGGAAAAAACTGCTTTGAAATTTTCCAAAAAGCATCAAAGTAAATTGAACCTTAAATGCTGCACAGCAGGCCTGGCCGTATGGTAAATCTATCATTTTCTCCGATGTTGGCTGTGTTGGTGTTAGATTAGATTAGATTTGATTAGATTAGATGAGATTAGATTAGATTAAGGGGCCGAAAATTCGTTTAATGTTGTACGAATCTTCCGGGAAAAACTATAAGAATCTTTTAGAAAAATCTGGAATAAACTTCTAGAAGATCTTGGTGGAAACTTCCAGAGGATTTCGAAAACAAATCCAGAGTAGCCAGCATAAGGGGATACCTGCAAATTTTCTAGGAGAAATCAAAATATTAAAATTATTGCCGATAAAAATAACGATTCTCGAGGACTCCCGGAACGAGTAATCAGCTGTCTTAGGTAGCCAAAAATGGCCGGTAAATGCAAACACTACTTATAAATTTATAATCATGTAGTAAACAAAGAAAAAGAGTTGGTAGGCGATCAACCGTAAAACAATTTTTAATGGAGCTTGAAATTTTCTAATAACTAAGTTAATATAAGATTTTTTAAGATTCTCTTGCTCATTATTGAAAGGAGAGGTAGGGGGTGGGGGTTCCGGTATTTTTTTGTTTTTGATTTCATTTGGTCTGCCATAAAAAATAACTGGCAGGTCTTGCTGTCTCTGGTCAGAAGCTTGTAACATACAATTGATTTACTAATTAAAAAAAAACTAAGGACACGGGATATACTACAATAGATCTAACTACTGGTTGCAGTGGCTTTATGTCCCTAACAGAGGAAAACAAAATAATGTTTAATCTTTGTTTTCTAATTCTTCCCAATTGGGATAAATGTGCAGCAATTCTACCTACGCCAGAGTGAAATACTGTAATTGTAATATGTAATTCAAACATATTTCCACCCAAAACCGATTTTACCTCTCATATCGAAAGCACACATGATCCTCCGGGCTTGCACAAGATCGATCAGCCAACAGAACAATTAAGCTCGCGATTGCCAATCGTTGCGGGGTCGTAAAAAAACTGGTCCCATGGCGGCTTCGACGAACACCACTGGAACACCAACCATCACGGATACTTATCATCGTTGGCACATTTCTTTTCTACGATCGAATCGCAATCCTGTTTTTCACTTGGGTCGGTTTCTTGGTTTCACAATTTCCCTGGCCCGGTTTTAAATAGAGCACTTATCCTAAAAACTTGGTAATCATTGGATCATAAATGTTAATCAATATCACATGTAATTAATTGAATTGTTATGCTCAAGTTGCGCAACACTTTTGATATCTAGTACATATTCGATTATGATCGTCGCCGTTCCCACAGACTACATACACCGAGTTTCACTTTCGAACAATCGCGCACCGTATCGTCGCTGGTGAAATCCGATCGCAAACTAACTGATATCCAACCAGACGCAACATAGCACAAAGGATTTCACCTAACGATCTAAGTAGAATGATACCGATACATACATTACACTTGATCTTCATCGTCAACGTCGGTGTTGTTGTTGTTGTTGTTGTTGCTAGAGGTCATTATCATGCGCTTGTGTAGTGTCGCATCTGGGCAGAGACGGACGACAACGCACGACTGCATCTCCCCGGTTCCTTCTCAATGTGGCAATGTTAGGGCCAGAGCATCAGCATTACAGTCAATCAAGATTGCACTTATGGGCATTACGAGACGTCAGCGCCGCATCACCACTGGACGAGATTGGAGTCGGTTTAAGCATCATCGGTCACACGAGCGACGACCGACACGACGCCGTGATAATATCAGGAAGTTGTGCGTACGAAAAAAGGAGATGTTCAATTTAAGGCTGAGTGGCGTGTTTTGTTTTTCGCCTGCCGTCTCGAGATTTACTTCGCTGGGATAAATTGAATCAGATTGGCGGTGATATACCTACAGAGGGAGGGAGACACAACTTGTCACGAGATATGATTTTATTAGATTTAATCCATATAGCTGCACATTTATATTCTTACTCATGGATTGCGTGATGGAGAGTGTGTTTCCTGACGAACGACAATGAACTCTGAAGATGTTGTTTCATTGTGATTTGAAATTAAGCATATATTTGGAAGAGGAGTTCTAATTCTACACGTAATGACTAAATGTACTCATCTGAAAATAAAATGCCACCATTTCACATTTCTCTGAACCGCTAAGCTAGCAGCCTCAACTGGTGCACGTTCGCTTGGACAAACATATACAATCCAATTACCAGTGCCACACTGAGCTGCAGCTGGACTCCAGCATTGTAGAAACCACCGTACACCTGTAGATTGGCCGTCTCAATACTGTGCTTGCAGTAGTCCCCGTCGTAGATCCAGCCAACGAACTCGTTCGTACGGAGATTCTCATTCCGCAGCCACTCCTCCAGTGGCCTAAAGTACTCCCGCAGTGCCGTCCCATCGAGCCGGCCTTCGCCAATTACCTCCTGAAGAACCTGCTGCCACGGTTGCGATGCACCTCGTTCCATCAGTTGTCTGCAGACCGAAAGAGAGACAGAATGAAATCGAAACGTTAGAAATGTGCTAAACCGATGAAACGCTGCAATAGATCATGTCAAAATTATTTCTTCGCGCGGTTATGAAATTTTCGCAACGCTCTGGACTGTCCACTGAAGTGTCGTCGTCGTCGTTGAAAGGTTGCGTAATGTCACGTTGAATACCCATCATGATGAGTAGCCTCGTGAAATGACGGTGAAGAAATGGGCTCTGCCGAGGGGTGGCCAAGAGGTTCTAAAGCTCCAAATTCCTATTCCTACAACTGACAGTCATTTTCACTTCAAGAGGCGGAAATCATCAATCAAAATTTGATTCGTTACTGCAATTAAGAATTCAAAGGATATGACCATCCCTCGCTTGATGGATGGTGCAATGGATTCAATTCGATGAGAATCAGTGCACCTCCAACCGTCCACCTGATGGCCAATGGCCAACAACCGCAGCAGTGGGAGTTTCAAGCGGAAAGCGGTAGACATTTGCGATCAATAGTAGTCATATTTTTCTTTCTTCACTGCAATTTTTCTGTCATGATGGTACTACAGGGCACTCTTCTCATTCGATTGCAATTGTGTCACCCCGTGCCATGGACTGTCATCGAATGGCGAATGGGTAAGGTGCATGCATGGTGCACTTATTTTTTTTGTCTTCTTTTAAACGGGTTGGATATGATTTGTATGCAGTGTATGGATTGCGACTTCTTTTATTTTGATTCCTAAAATGCAACTGGCGTCGGTGAATATGAATATGGCAGCCGTAGTAGAATGGATGCATTGTTGGGTTTAAAGAAGAGAGAGAGAGAGTACAAATGCTTTGTAGTGCCATATGAATTGGCCTCATTGAAATTTAAAAATATCCAGCCCTCTGCCTTTTTGTCTTTCTTGGCTAGTACGTTCCAGCTGGAGTTTTATGCCTGCCTCCAGGTAAGCGTTCTTTGAGCAATTCCATAGTTATTAAGTAGGGGAAATGGATGTAATGTCGGCCTAAATGCCCCTAATTTGGACCCATACATAAAGTAAGCAATCGACTAAATTTTCAATAGCGACCAAAAATATCCATTAGTACCGTCTCAATGACGCGTTTATCTAGATAAAATTAATAAATAGCTGATTTTTAGCGACCCTAATTGGGTAATTACCGCAATAGATCAAACTAATGGTCGAAGTGGATTTAAGTACCAACAGAGGAAAAAAGTAACTATTCTATTTATTCACAGTGGCAACCGGGCCGTACCTACACTCAAAAAAGTTCACACGTCTGATTGAAGTGTTTAAACACTTGATTTTTCATATGCACAATCACATTTATTTTAAGTGCATTCCACCATGGTTCAATGCATTCTACACGTTGGTTTCTAGTGTTTCAATCTTTGAAATGTTGATAATCTTTCTCTATCAATTCAAGTGTATTGCACATTGAATCACACTACTGTTCAAAACAGATGGATTTGAAGTGTTTTGAGTTTGCCTAGAGTTTGTGAGAAAATTCTGAACTACTGTTTACCAGCCAAAAGACCTTGACCTCCTGAACAACTTTGTCGCAGACAGTAGCTTTCTATGTGGTCAGGATCTCGAGATATATCATATGTGAGAAGTGTACATGTATACTAACGCCACGTGGTGAGAAAATTCTTAACTAACGTTTACCAGCCAAAAAGGCTTTAACCTCCTGAACAACTTTGTCGACGACAATAACTTTCTATCTGGTCATGCTCTCGAGATATATCACATGCGATAATTTCACATGTATTCTAGCGCTACGTAGTGAGAAAATTCTGAACTACTCTCCACCAGCAAAAAGTTGATGATCTCTAGAACAACTTTGCCCAAGGCAGTAACTTTCTATCTGGTCAGGATCTCGAGATTTTTTTTATGTTGTAACCAATTAAGTCAAATCCCACGCAGTACGGACACCGTTTACGCTGTTTCCTGTCACATTTTCTCTATTATCCGCATTTTGGGGGGTTAACTGTGATAAAAGTTTAGCTTGTTTAGTTAAATACAAGTTTACAAAATGGCAATGGAAAACTCACACTGTTGTACAAAGTACAACGCGCGAGTACTCGTGTTACAAAAGTTGGCGCGAGTAACGGAGGGTTAATTGGTTAGTTAACTTTTTGCACAGTTGCTTTGCCTGATCTAAATCTCAAACATACCGGATGTTTAGAAAAGAGTGAATTAGTGACAAGCAAATTAATACTTTCATTCCGACGAGTTTGAATTTTGCTTCCGTGATTGAAATTAACAAATTGTTTCTTGCAAATATGTGTTTGTGAGTATTTGAATTATTGGATCTGATAGTGAATTAAAAGTGGGAGCAGTTAGAGCTGATCGAAAACGAGGAACTGAAAAGGATAGTGGGTCAAGCGGGCCAACATCCGGAAGTTCATATTGATAATGCTGCAATGACTGTGCGTTTATTCCGATGCACTTCCCGAGGTCGGCATGGGAAAACTGCTTTTATCATCATCAGGATCAAGAAGATGGAGCTCCATTTGGGAGGCTTGCTAATTACAGATCATTCGGGTGATCCCTTTCCTTTTTATTTGTTTACATTATATTTCTATCAGTATTCATAAAAACTTTACCAAATTATGTCCCAGCACATAAATTGAAGAGCTCAGCTAGCTTGGTAGCTAACGCTTTTGCTTACTGAGTAGAAGGTCATAGGTTTACTCCCAAGCTCCTCCAAAATAATAAGGGCTGTTCATTAAAGAAAGTGGACACCTGTTTATCAATGGGTTAGGGTTAAAACGTAACGAAAAATTGTGAATTTTCGCTCAGTGTGTAAAAACATTGTTTATTTTGGCAACACACCTGAAAAATAAAAAAGTGAGAAATTTCGAACGATGGGTCGGATCAGCTTATCAACTCGCAGATTAATTCTGCACAAATGGTTATCCGAAAAGTTGTCATTTCGAGAATTGGCAAAAAGCGTGAAGTGCAGTAAATCTACAGTGTTCAAGATTGTTAAGAAGTTTGGAGAAACGTGTTCTCTTGAAGATTCACCGAAATCTCGGCGCAAAAAGGAGGCATCGGATCAGAAAAAGGAGCTGGCAGCAGTAAGCTTTTTGAAATCGCACAAACCGTGTTTCGTTCGTGACATTAGCGTCGGAACTGTGCAGAATATCAAAAAACGTAACAATATCAGAACCTTCAAGAAGCAAAAGGCACCCAAAAGGACGGATTCACAGAAAGCTTCTTCGAAAATACGTTCACAGAACTTATGACGTTCTCCTTCAAAAGCCAAACCGGTGCATTTTGATGGGCGACGAGACGCACGTCAAATTTGATACCAGTACACTTCCAGCCTCAATTGTTCAACGCTGAGCAGAGAACAGATGTGCCTGATGATGTGCGATACATGCGAACCGAAAAATTTGGAAAAAATGGTTTTGGTGTGGCAAGCCATTTACTCCGGTGGCTTGAAGAGTTCTTTGTATTTCACAACGGGCACAATCAATGATGAAAATTATAGAAAAGAATGCATCAAAAAACGGCTTCTACCCATCTACCGAAAGCATACGGATCCTCCATTGTTTTGGCCGGATCTGGCATCTGCTCACTATGCTTCTGCTATGTTGGAGATGCTCAAGAAGGAACAAGTTGATCTTGTCGAAAAATTCCAAAATCCCCCAAACTGACCTGAACTGCGTCCTATCCAAGGGGCTGGCAACCCTTTATCAATCCTATACGTTTGACAGTAGGCAACATCATGGGCCTTATTTAAATACGGTCCACCTGACGTATACATGGTGGAAAGGGACGGAAAACCGTGTTGTAAGCAGAAAGACAAAAGCAGATGATGGCATCAAAAACATGGCCGCCAGTTAGGCCCCTGGTCCTATCGAAAGAAAAGGTTGGAAATGCTTACATGAAGCTTTAGTGTGATAATTTATTAGCTGGGGAATGATCTTTAGAAGAGGGTTGGTGGATAGTTCCGTTAGAGTACGGCAGTATGAAAATTGAATAGAAGTTGAAAATGAGCGAAGGGACATACTTCAAGTCTTCGCGTACATCGTACGGGTTAGGCAAAAGATGTGCGTTTGTCTTCAAAAACTGTCGCATTAATGGCCCTTCGCTTATATTCAGCTTCTATTCAATTTTCATACTGCCGTATTCTAACGGAACTACCCACCTACCCTCTTCTAAAGATCATTCCCGAGCTAATAAATTATCACACTAAAGCTTCGTGTTAGCATTTCCAACCAACTCTGAAAATTGCTAAATTCGCGTATGAAGTAACATAAAAACACTTTGAATGTTATGAATTTGTTCGAAAATAAATATTTTCCTTTGAGAAACAGGTGTCTACTTTCATTAATGATCGCCTGCTGAAGCTAATCCTGACCCATCTCCTACCCAACTATCCAACTCCGTAGCATCGGTGGGTCTGTGGCATCGGTGAGTCGCTGGCTTTCCGTTAAGTAGATGTTGCATCAACAATATTCTTCCTTTCCCAGTGACGGAGAAGATGGGCATGGTCGGCATTGGTAATTGTCATGCTTTTCCTGCTCTGAATTCTGATTGGAGAGCTATTCACTCCCAAATAGTTTTCCAGAAAGTCGTCAGTATGTAATCTACGAATCACTCCGTTATAAACGCAACGCAACACAACACAAATCAATATTTTCATTCCGTTTCCCTTTATGATCACAGGCTCTCTTTAATGCCCTGGTGCAATTTCAGATCGCGACCAAATTCTTTCAAATTTTGCACAGCTGTTGGAGGCTTCAAGACAAATCTAAAGAGCCATAAAGAGTGAATATTGGTGACTCACCCTTATAAACGGCACTCCAAATAGGGCGGTATTACCCCAACAGGGCATATTTTTTTCAAAATCATGATTAACCACATATTATTGATCAACATATCGATAATCTCAGTGTTCACTCGGTTGTCGACAGAAGCAGGCCACTCTCGGTGTGTGTCACGCGATCGTCTGTTTACTTGGCAGCAACCATTTGTGTGGTCCTCCTCATTGTTCTTCATCAGCAGCGCTTTCGGTCGATGCGTCGTCGACTTTGGAAAGCAACCGTTTAGTTATGAGTGCTGACCACGTTTTGCGTCCATTGCTGCAATGGAAGCGCTCTGCCCCCCGTTGGCGATACTGCCATACAATGAAACCACTGCACAGTGGTGCCAAGGGTATTAAAACAGGTGCTTTTTATTTACGCTGAAATGGTTGATTAAAGGTATTAGGTGTCTTGGGAAAAATTTCTCGAGTTATAATACTCCTTCTTATGGTAAAATAAAATTAAAGGTTAATCCACCTATAAGAGAGATGCAATTTTTTTTTAATATAATGAGATACAAAATAATTGTGTTCAACAAGGCTGTATAAAACATTACTGTGAACGACTTTGTGGAAAATTATGACTTTCTAGCTCTTATAACTGATGAGATATAAAGGTTATTTTGTGGAGACATCATTAAAATCAGTTTTGTATCTGTAACTTTTTTTACAATATTTTTACATGTTTGGCATGTTTTACAAAGATGTTAGAAATATCAAATTACATATCTCTTTAGAAGATTGCAAATTTCTATCATTAATATTTGAAAAGTTATTTACATTTTTTGGTTGAAAATTACCCAAATTCCAATACCAATAACTTCTAAACGGGCAAAAATGAGCAGGCCATTATTTGGACAATTAAAAGTACAAGAAAATGCAATAAAATTATGAAGAAACCACGTGACCCTTAACCTAAAAGTTCAATGCAAGTTGCACTTGTCACTTTTCAGAATTTGAAATGGCGATTTTGTGAAACCACGGGACTGCTATCGAGTAGGTGTGTAAAGAGGCATACAAATGGATAACCAAGCAACCCGGGTTATTTCTAGAGAATACCAAAATGATTCGGGATCAAAACGTGGAATAACACATAGCCAATACGTCAATCTATCGATACAAAACAATATTGGAGGGGATGGCATCATGTATAAATCATATGAATACTTGGATAAATGTGTATTCAACTAATAACTCTTATACTATCATCAGGCTACGAAATTAACTGCGAGAGGTTCGAAAGCTACGGTATAGAAATGGCTAGTCGATCCATATCCATGGTACTATCTCCCCGTGTTTGATCATAAAGTGCTCATACACGGGGCGAAAGTGATTTCTTTGTTTCTAATACCCATTGGGCAACTATCTGAAATGGCCCAGGAAAGCAGAAACAAAGGTACCAAGCAATACAAAAACCACCACTCCAGAAAGTTTTCCAGAGAAGCCACCAATACAGATCTTCTTCACCGTCTTCTGGAATCCTCCGATCCGTTAATTTCCAACATGAGGGAACTACCGAAAAACAAAAGTAAGGTGTGCTCCGGGAATGCTCTGCAACTGTTGGCCATCACGGATGACAACGGCGAGAACAGTAATATCGACGAAGAGGAAACTCCAAATTTGTAGTCTTCTGAATTTGATATTTCTAACATCCTTGTAGAACATGCCAAACATGAGAAATATTGCAGAAAAAGTTACAGATACAAAACTGATTTTAACGATGTCTCCACAAAAAACCTTTATATCTCATCAGTTATAAGAGCTAGAAAGTTATAATCTTGAACAAAGTTGTTCACATTATGGTTCTCTACAGCCTTTCTGAACACAATTATTTTGTATTTCATCATATTAAAAAAAAAAAATTGCATCTCATTAATTAATCTTTAATTTTCTTTTACCATAAGAAGGAGTGTTGTAATTCGAGAAACTTTTCCCAAGACACCTAGTACCTTTAATCAACCATTTCAGCGTGAATAAAAAAGCGCGTGTTTTGATACCCTTGGCACCACTGTGCACTGGAAGCGGCTCCCGTTCTGATGGAGGAGGCTAATTGGATAGCGGAAGATAATGTCTTTGTTGTGTTGTAACTTTTGACTATAGTTTTAACATGTATTGTATAGTGAACAAGAATCGTCGGCTCTGTAAAGTTAATTCGATTGAGCCTTATCAAATAAAGAAATAAACAACAATATCGATAATCGCACAAGGATCCTAATAAATTATGAAAATGGCAATATTTTTTTGCAAAACAACAGTATTCTAATCTTTTAGTACCGTCAAAACCTTAAACTCGGCTGGTAAAAAATAACATTCAGCAGCACACAATAGATGCATGGGTATGTTTTGTTTATTTTCTTAGAATTGAACAGATCATTGTGCGTCCTGAAAAATGACCTGTGTTTATTTAGTTGCACTAAAACTGTTTTCTAGTAAAAAGTGATGGGGTGACGGGCTTACCCACAGTGACGGGCTTACCTGCACTTCCCCTACCGAAAATGTGTTAAAATGACTGTAAAACACAAATAAGTGCGACTGCAAAATTTTGATTACTGCTTCATGTTTAGTTACAAATCATCGTTGAGTTGTGATATCAAAATTCGACCAAAGAACCTTTCTCTATTTTAATGTCCACCAGAATCTAACTTACTTGAGGATATTCCCCGCCGCCGGTTGCCGATAGATGTCGCACTTGTGCAGTGGCTTGCTCGAATCGAGTGGATCATACTGACGCGAGGCCGTACACATTGCCCTGTGGATCTGGAACTGAAGTACGTTGGAGAAGAAGTACCTACAATGGAGAGAAAATGACACAATACATTAGTCACTTCGGCCCTCGCTGTACAAATGCAAATGTTTGCGCAATTGATCTTGAAAGTGGCCATACGAGGCCCTACTTTGGGTATGGAAATTTCTTAAACGACTTTGTTTTGCAGGATGATTTCTCAATTTGCAGGTTGTTCGCATTTGCTTCATCGTTTATTTTGCTTCACGCAGTCTGCATTTTCACACACTAGCTAGGTACCGCTGTCCAAAACGACGAATGAGTCGTCGCCAAAAACAACAATATGCGAAACAAATCGTTTTACTGCGGGGGTTTCGTAAAGAACATATGATGTATTTAAATTTGCTTGGAAGTTCAAATTGTGGCGAGAACATAACAAATGAATCGAGACGCTATGGTTGGTATATGTACAAATCAGCTTCAGCAGAGTGCACTAATTAAGCGCTAGGTTTTCGCCACCGCTCACTCTTTCGGGAGGTGCTAAGATGAAGTACTGCAGGGGCATGTGAAGTGCAGCAGACTCCGCACGCGTAGTTGAGGAGTGAGTGATTTGGAAAGAGCAGCAGCCACTTCGGACGAGCATAAATCAAAATGTAGCAGCAGCAGAAGTCGGAAAGCTTTACCTTGGGCAGGGTGTTTTGGCATACATTCGTGGTGCAGTTCAAGCGGTTAGTCGACGTAGGTAAACTAATCCGAAACATTGCCATACACTCAGGTAATGATAGGCTTTGCTACAGATTTTAATGTGTGTGCAATCGGTTAGACTGGAGCTAACTGACGGAATGCAGTGATTGATGGCTGATTGGGCGAAAGGTCTGTCTCTTGAGATCTTGAGGTGAATCGAGTGGTGCTGACGCTGATTTGGTGGTTCGAAACGCTTCCTGAATTTTTGCATGGCAGTCAGTAATTGTGGACTGGGATCGAACGACGTTGGCGCATATAATGTAGAGGGTGGCTATCTGCGCTTTGGATCAGGTGCTCATTAGGTAACGATTTATGGGTTTCGACTGGATTATGGGATCGAGTCGGAGGCCTATTGCCATTGGGGTGTTGAGTTACAATGTTTCTTAGTTGGAACAAAACAAAAATGCACGGTTAAGAGAAAGGAAAGTTCAACTATATTTCAAGATTCCTGAAATAGTTTACTATAGCATAAAATAGTGAGTGTTGATTTCACAATATTTTTAGGCACGTGCTTATAAAGCACACCATGCTGTGCATTAGCTTAAGCTAATGGGGATGCTTAAAGGATCAAGCTCCCTCTAGAATTATGTGAGTTTTCATGATCTACTCGCTTAAAAATTGTACAATGGGCCAGCAATGGAATCTAGCTGAACGTAATTAACAACTCCAAAACAAAACCTTTCTGAGACTTGGTGTCTTCAGAAATGTTTGTTATTATAATGCGGCCCATCTATCAACATAAACAGATGGTTCGAAACCCATCCGCATTTGAAGACCACGTGCTCTGGTGTTTCCTCGACATTTCCTCACTCTGGGATGACCACAGAGGGGTGGCCTTACGTGTCCGAACCGATGTAGGTACTGTCTGAAGCAACCCTTATTACATAAGGATTGCGTCAGGTGGAAGTTTACCTCTCCACGCTTTCTTTTCACCCAGTTCGAGAAAACGCCATGTCCGTACACACCAAATTTTGAGTTCAATTTCCAGCAAAATGAATTGCTGAAGTGTATCCAGCAAAAGCAAGTTTTGTTGTAAAATCAGTAATCTGTATTATTTTGCTAACTGTTCCAGTTAACAGAATTAAATGTCAAAATCAAGCTCGGTTCTATCGTTGGCTGCTGCGAGCTATGAGATAATTTTTCAGTCGATTGAATAATTTATAACTGCACACTATAAATATATCACTAGGAAATCAATAATGCTGCGGAAGTCATGAAGTATGCGTAAAATTCAAACTTTAAGCGATTTTGTACTAAGCCTCCTTTTTATATTTACAGTCAGGTGAAATTTCATCGGTAACGCATCAAAAGTGCATACAGATGCATCGATTTTCGGTATAAATGTGCGCAACCGAAATCCAGCACATAATGTACGAACATATTATCATATAATAAACTGTGTATTCTGATAAAAATGTGATTTCTTTAAAAAACAAACTGTTCTTCCAGCTAAACGATTGCTGGATAATAGGTACATTTTGCTGGTGTTTCAGTCAAGTGCTGTCAAATTAGCTCTGTCTCAATTTTCTGGCCGTTCAGCCAAAACTCGGCAAAATCCAGCAGAATGTTGCTGGATTCCAGCGAATAAAAATGGGTGTGCGCCGACAACAACATCACAGAAAAGTCAGGCATCATAAACAATCAGGTAATTTCTAACAAATTTTACCTATATTTTACTTATACTCGAATTAACCACCTTAAGTTACAGCTATCTATGAATCGACACATACCCCCCCCCCCCCCTCTCTATGGCAGCTAATACATTAATGTTGAGATGGGGTCTTGCCGATACGTTACCCTACCGGTGATGTTACTATTGGCTTGCCCTGTTTCACATTCGTGGATTACACAGAACTTATTTAACCTGCTGGCAAAGATGCTGTGATGCCACTTCCTGTCTACTGGTATAGCATGTACGGTGCATAAAAGTATCGGACGCCTGGCCCTTGACCCCCTTCTATACTACACAATCACGATCACAATTATTGCGAAATATTAGACCCGGGTTTTTTTTTTTATTTATTTCGTTATTAGGGTGACCATTGCCATTAAAAACTACAAGGGACTACAAGGGTTTGCAATGGTGACGTAGGACTACGTAGTCTTATATAATAATTCTTATTTGTTAATTGCAGCAGGAGCTTATGTTGTGTGTAGGAATAGGAATTTGAGCGGGGTTCTCTCTGTTTATACTCTTTAGTATGACGCGCTTGACATGGCCCGCACCGACTCACGAACAGCTACTGATTCCGATTAATAGTTGTGCGGCTTCTTCTTTCTTCTGTGGATGATCTTGTGGGCTGCAGCTCGCTGCTTGCAGGCAGCCTTTCGTTGTGAACTGGAGAACACCACCACTCACCACGCGGTGATTGAATAAACACCGTTTGGTGAGACCGGAAGGAATTCAACTTGGAAATCTGTGTTAGGGATATCGCTTTTCGCAGGCAATCGGTGATAATTTGTAGGTAATTTTATCACCGATTATCAATTTATCATCGGACCGGACAATCCCATATTCTTCGGTTCAATGATAGGGCACTCGCAAGAGTCTCGGCCCGTTTGCTGCTGGATAGAGGTTAAACTGGTGTTTGCGACAGGTTGAAAGGCCGCAGAATATCAATGTCCATCCAGCTAAAGCTCCTCCTAGTTTTTCTCGTAAAACTCCTTCTATCAAAAAGTTGGTAAATCAGCCTTTAGAAGAAATACGCTTAAGTCTTTTTTCGGCGAATTTATGATCCTGTTTCACAGCATGGTTCTTCTCTATGCCTCATCAGATGAATTAGTACTTTTATCTATTTTCTCTATTGCGCTAAATTAAACTAGTTGAAATAAGAAAAGATGTCGGTTATGCGCTCCAATAATTGAAAATTCAATAAATATCTAATATAATAGCTGGAAAAATCTTTACGATCAATCGTTAATCGAATAATTGAACTTTTTCACTATCCCTAATAGTGTGATCTCATGTTTTTTTTTTGGTGGTCCTTCGAAAATGTCGAACAGCAGAATTGCAACCAGCAACTGTAACCCAAGAATCAAAAGCGGTGCGATGCGATGCTAGTTTTCATTGCTATGACGACGATTGTATTGAGGGGCTTAGAACCAGAGGGGTGAAAGTCAATTCTCTTCATCGATTTCGTCTTTTGATGATCATATGGCTTCAATATTTTGCTATGCTCTCCATCATTCAGAAAAACAAACGTATCAATGAATGTGTTTGCCGTCGAGTTATTAACGAAACAGAAAGTCGATGAAGAGAATCGATCAAAATCACTTGCACCTCTGCTTCTAAGTTTGGTTACAAGATTGCAACACTTGAGAGCATTTTGTGTGGTCGTTGGGGGCGTGTGGTTCTGAATATGACGATCAGTGTTCAAAATGTTACGCAATTGCATCCTCCCTATTTGCACACGCCCAAAGATCGGACGCGAATGCCACTTCGACTAGTTTCGTCTGATAACGACTCTTTGATGACAGTGTTTATTACCACTTAACTTTTCGTTACCTTTCCTTTGATATTTTGATCTTTAAAATCAGCTCAGTACTTCAAAAGTTATGAGTTTTTGAAAAATTCCATTTTTGAAAAAAAAAATGGTTCTTATGACCACCTTAACTTGGAAATGGTCACCCAAATACGGAACAAAAATACCAATTTTAACGAAATTATGAGAACCCCAGTATCGTTTTGCTATGGAATGGCTGATCTATTAAAAGAAGATTTCAAAAATGTTCATTTTGTAACCGAAATAAAACCGTTGGGGTAAAATGGGCACCCTCTCGGGGTGATATGAACGCCCTTGAAAACAACCGGTAAGAATATTCTGTGCTCTTGAGTCTTTATGAAGTTTCAACAATGAACAGTTTAAGCATAAAGAGATTTAAAGGAAACCATTATTTTCTGTAGAATAAATGAATTTTAAGAAGTACTGCCTATTTAAGACTGGATTTCTTCAGTCTTGTAACTGACTGATTTTTTACTAAATCAAAAGCTACAAAACGTGATTTCATATGAAACAGTGATATTTATAAAAAGAATAATAAACTGAGGCAAATAGACCTAAGAATTTCATAAGTCTCGACTTATGAACAACATACATGAATTTCATAAGCGTGACTTATGAATGATTGTCGGGTAAGATGAGGTAGCTATTATACGCCTTTAACCATTTCATTTTCCTAAGCGTTGAAAGACGAGTGGTAAACACACGGGCCCCTAACCTCAACGTCCATTTTCCGGTTCCAGTCTGCTCCGATTTATTATTTTTTTGTCAGCATTATTTTTATAAGGCAAATCAATGAAATTCATACTCATTTCTTATGGC